AATTGTCATAATGTTTGCTTCTTTCTTAGTGTATACTGCATCATCCAGGACTCCATGTGTATGTTCATTAGAAATCCAAATGTCCAAATAAATAGTGTACACAAAGTATTAAGGGATCTGGATTTGTGATTAATTGTTTGTATAAACTCTTCAGCATACAACTTGCTGTTCAGGTATATCAGGAATGGAGACCATGTGAACATCAGCTCCTCTTATGCTTTACCATTAGTAACATTAGCTAGGGCTGATGGGTAACATCATCTGAAGGGCCACAATTTCCCCAGGGTAGATGGAGCTATATATTAAAAGATTTTTAAAAGTCCAGTTGTTGGGCATGTTCAACTGTTCTCCCAAGCACGCTATATACAAAATCAAAGAGGAAGAAAAAAATATTTCCACATCTGAACAGAGCAGAGAATTTAACTTCACAGGTGAGCAGATTTCTTTAATTTCAGACCACAGGTCAGAATAATGCTATTTACTTACTAACTAACTAACTCACTATCCCTTTCTTCTTATATGAGTCCCAAGGCAGTTCACAATTTGGATTTAAACACAATTAAATCCATGAAGAATATAAAGGTTAAAAACAACAACCAACAATCATATTAAAAACATTGATTTAAAATAGTTTTTAAAAGGCTATTAAATGATGATGATGATGATGATGATGATGATGATGATGATTAAAAATACAAATACAGACACAACATAACCTCAATTGAAAGACCTTCTGCAACAGTTAACATGCAAAAAATGGTTTTAAAAGGTTGTTGGACTATAACTCCCAGCAACCCTAGCCAGAATAGTGAATGGTGAAGAATACTAGGAGTTGCAATTGAACAACACAATTCCTGCCCCTGTTTTAGATTTATATTCAGAGCATCCAGAGAAAAAAGTACTCATTGGTTTCTGAAAATCTTCTAAGATATTTTCAAAGAGTAAAGAACATTTCTACCATCAGAAACAGTTACAGTTTGGTCAAGAAAAGGAGACACATGATGTCTGGAAATTATCTTTACAATTTCAATCCTATATAGAATTGAAACTGTAAAGATAATGTTTAGACATCTTGTATATAAGGGACTAAGGTATGAATAAAGCCATTGCTTTGCTGTATCAGGGCATCTGCACAAGGAATCTGTGTCCAGCCATCATGTCAATCTGGAATGTCACATATCTGGTAATCAGATACAGTGCTTATAAACATGGGTGCTCCGTTTAACTCTTATGGCTAATAGCTGTTAATAATAGCCCTCCCCTCCATGACTTTCTCAAATCCTTGTTTTAAAGCCACTTAAGCTTTAAAGCTTCTTAAAACTGTCTAAGCTCAGAGATGTCACCGCCTCTTAAGGTAGTGAGTTCTATGAATTAATTATATGCTATGTGACAAAAAGTTGTCCATTATCAATCCTGAACTTTTGTCAGTCAGTGTACTTCAAGTTCTAGTCTTATGAATTTTGAGGGGGGGGGCAACCTCTTTCCACAAGATGAAAATGTTACTTTTCCAGACTACAGCTTCCAGAACTTCCCAGCCAGTATAGTCAATGGCTATGCTAGCTGGCCATTCTGCGATCTTGTAATCGGAAAAAGTTTTGGTTTCCCCCCCCCAGCTTAACTCTACCCCATTCCATTCATTTTTAAGGCTGCAATCCTCAGCTCAATTTGTTATTGAACTCAATGGGGTTTTGAGATTTAAAAAGGAGGGAGGGAGAGATAATTGCACAGTAAGTTACTTGGTTTTCTAAACTGAACCACCTAGTTTGAGTTTATTTTATGAAGATCTATGTGGAACTAAATTCTGAGTGTGAAATATAGAAATATACCTTACAGCACCTAATATTTGTTGGTAGTCTCCTATCCAAGTAGTAACCAGGACTGAACCTGTTTAGCTTCCAAGATCAGATGGGATCTGGTGTCTTTAGGTTTCTTAGGTATAGAGAACCAACATGGTGTAGCATTTGAGGTGTTGGACTAGAATCCTGGAGACCAGGGTAAGAAACTCTGCTCAGCCATAAAACCCACTGGGTGACCTTGAGCAAGTCATACATTCCCAGTCTCAGAGGAGGGCAATGGCCAAACCACCTCTGAACATCTTGCCATGTAAACCTCGATAGGTTTGCCTTAGGGTTGCCACAAGTTGGAAATGACTTGATGGCATACAACAGAATATTTGAGTAAATATATATGCAAATGCACAGTGAATTATTTATTTTCCTATACTGAAATCCATTGTTCACTCTTTCCCTATAAGGAATGTTCTTCAAGCCTGCAATTTCTGAACTTTTGCCAATCAGCAACATTTGATGACCCCAAGTTTTAGTCTTATGAATCTTAGAGTGAGTGAAAAATCCATTTATTCACTGCCTCCCAGAATATGGAAATGAATTCCTAAATGAGCATGGCCATTGATCAGTGCTTCCATCAATATGCCTAAAATTTTCTGTGCTTTCATCAGTATCCTTTTTTAGTGAGTTGGGATGACCAGACCACACACTGTACTGTAAGTTTGGCCGCATGGTAGATTTATAACACTTGTCTGGTTTCAAGTATGTATAGAGTAGTTTAGATGTAATTTATTAAATTTATTACTTTATGACATTTATTTAATTTATTACATAAATAATTTATTAAAATAAATCATGTCTTGGAGACTTACATAAAGTTCTGACATTTTAAATGGGTTTTTGGACATAATCATTTTGGAGGATTTATTGTCATACTATTGTTCTTTTAGCTATTTTGAATGCCATGACGTATCACTTGGTACAAGAGCCAGGGTGGTTCAGTGGTTTCACCACTGGGCTATGTCCCAGGAGAACTGAGTTCAAATCCCTGCTCAGGCATGAAAACCACTTGGTGACCTTGAGCAAGTCACACTCTCTCAGCCTCAGAGGAAGGCAATAGCCAAAAAAAATGTCTCTGAACAAATCTTGCCAAGAAAACCCCATAATAAGTCAGAAATGATTTTAAGGCACACAACATTACCTATTACTCTTCTGCACACTTATACACACTGGGTTGATAGCAGGATCTGGCTTCCACTGCTCTAGACATATTCCTCTGTTCAGTTTGGCAGAATGTCCATGAACACAAACACACTCACTATTTTCAGTAATGTCTCACCAATCTTCTCTGTAAAATTTTCAGGGGGAGGGAGATGCATGGAGAATGAGGAAGTCCAGATAGCCAAGCTGCACACACCAAAATATGAATCTATTATATACCAAATCTGGATCTGACCTGAAAAAAAGCAGATTCCCATGAACCTGAAAGCTCCAGAAAGAGGCATTTGTGTATCTGCTATTACATATGTGCAAAGATTGTCATGTAGGTCAGGTTGGATGTGGAATGATGATCCATCTTAAATCATTCATGCCGATCCACCCAAGCACAATAATTTAAAATTCCAGACAGCATTACTCAGGAACACAGCTTGTATTCCCAAACAAGTTTAGCTCAGTGGTTAATTAATTAATATAATTAATTCTCCTATATTGCAAGAAATGCAGGACATAAAATATAATTAATTAATGTATATCCAGACTTTCTCCCAATGTGAGCCCCAAGGTGGCTAAAATCACAACACTATACTTTTTATCTTAAAGTACCCACCAAACTCAAATGGGACTTAAGGGACTGATTTATGTACCAAAGAGTTCATGGTCTAAAATATGTTCTTTGCTATGAACACATCAGCAATGTAGGACATCAAGCTTGACCTTCCTTACAGGCTTGTTTTGAGGCTTGTTATGTAATGGGGGGGGGGACAAAGTCCTACATTTTTGTTATCACTTTTGTGTCATACTGCACACAACATCCATCTGTCAATGTACACACACAAGTTGCTTCAAGCTATGTGATGGTCAGGTTCCCAGGAGTTAGGCTGAACCAGTGCTTGGAAAAGTAGTTATCCTACCTGTGGGATTCTAGAAGTCATAGTCCAAAAAAGTAAACTTTCTGAAGTCTCAGCTGGACCACACTGATAGGATTTTTTAAGAGATGTTGCCCTGCAAAGGTGTACCCAAGGATTGTGTGATCTTTCTGCACAAATTAATAAGATGGTCAATAGTTTCATCTTTGTTTTACGTAGATGCCATTTGCTATCTATAGTTATTTTTCAATATTTGCCTTGATGCTGTTGGTCGGCAACACTTGCTCTTGAGCCACAAGAACAGTCTCATTCTTTAACCATTTCAAGATGTTTCCCCTTCTCAACTTTTCCTTATGTGCTTCTATTGTATTGACCATTGACCATGTAGTGGTTTGTTCTGCCAGGCTTCAAGGGGATTTTTCATAATTTTCTTTCTATATATGTCTCTTCTTTCTTTGATATTCAATGAAATCTTTCCATATACATCCATTAACATTTCTTTCTTTGATGTACTCACCAAGGATTTTTTCCTGTTCTTCAACCATTTGTTTCTCTTGTAGTAACCCAGCAATATTATGAGGTAGATATAGCAGGAAAACAGATGGAAGAAATGTTCTGTTAACTGCTCTATCTGCTGCTAAAGTTCTCAGGTGTACATGTGTGTTTTTAACACATGACATTGCCCTTTTCATGGAATATCAAGAGCAATTCCGAGAACAAACAGAACTTTTTTATTCATACATGCAGGTTCGTTTCTTTTTATTTCAGGATGGATTGCAGCAAAAAGCTCCATTTTTTATTAGGTGTATTTTGCCAGTTTTAATAATAATAATAATAATAAATACTAATTAAAGGTATATGCTCCTTCTACTCTGGATAGGACAGGGAGCATGGGGTGTTTATGTTAGAAGAATATAATTTTTGGAACACTGAACCTTTAAAAAGGCATGTTCATCCAGGTCTCCTGAACCCACAATGAGCAAAGACACAGAAAAGACATTTCCTTGGCCAATTGTCTATAGCATTATGACATCTGAATGTTTATTCACCAAATTGCCTATTCAACTTCCTTCATCCTTCCCCCTCCCGCTTCCACTAGCTGGAGAGGTCTGTATGGATAGAAAATGCTTTTCCAATGGGTGAAGAATTAGGCCTTTTGTAGCAAGATATCTTGGTGAATGCTTTCAATATTTTGGACAGGCCCTTAATTGATCAACATCACTTGATGAGCCAAAACATGGTTTGCCAAGTTCCAAGATTTTTTTTGTTTTTGTTTTGTTTTGTTTTGTTTTGTTTTTGTTTTTTGTTTTTTGGTCTAGTGCTTCTACTTCTGCTTAAGACCAATCCATGGTTCCTATAGCAAATAATAACAAGTATGCCCCAGGATTTTATGGCTGAACTTAAGTCTACCTTTCTGCTGTTAAGGTTTGATCTTGACTTTGCATACTGTTTTATATACTTGTTTATGTTGAATACCCAGAACTTATAATATTCAAGTTACAAATATTTGTAATATACAAATGGCACTTATTTGTAACTTTCATCATGGTTGGGGCTTTTGATGATATTTTTGTCAAGACACTTTGCACCTTCTGATTGAACAATTTTACCTCTATTGATTGATAGTATAGCATATAGCACATTTAGCAATTCCAAATCCCACTGATGCCTAGTGGAGTGTTCTCTCTAGTAATCTCTACGTCCTTTAGTGCAACTTTTGGTTAAAGTTGACCATAGATTTGTCCTGGAGGACCTAGAGATTCCTAGAGAGAACATATTAATAAAATCTGTGAATAATCAAATCTGCAAAAGTCAAAGCTGTAAATGTGGAGGGACAAGTGTATGCTGTTTCCAGATATGGAATGTAGAGACCCCAAAATACAGCATAGGGCATGTAATAATAATGTAGGGTGTGCTAACAGCACCTTGTTGTGACCGCAAAGCAAAACAACCCATGGAGTGGTGGATGTGCTGGGCAGCTCAGCAGGATGTTTCTGTGATATTCGCCACCTGGCATTGGAATGAAGGACCTTTACAACAGGAGAGGGTTGGGACAGCTCCAGAGACTTTGAACTTCCTCACCATAGTGCAGACAGGACCTGAGATGCCTTGACTAAATGTTCTTTATTATTCAATAAGGGTTTGATTTCTGATGGTGACTCTGCATACAGTTTCAAATTATCCACATATAATAAATGGTTTATTTTCTCTATTTGTTTTGCTATTTCATAGCCCTAATTTGTTATCTTCATTATTGCTGAGAGTAATATCATCACAGTTACAAATAATTTAGGAGACAAAGAAAAAAATTCCACACCTTATATTCACAGCGCCATATTCCTCTCCACTAAGTGTTTAACACAATGTTCTATGATTGTATTATAGTTTAGAACTTTCTGGTGCTTTCACTCATTGCAAAAACTTCAAGGCATTTTTCAATCCACATTTTATTTAATTATTTTATTAAAATATTTATATCCATCCGCTATTTAAAGATCTCAATGTGATTAATTTAAATCAATGTAAATAAGAATGATTTTAAAAGGTTAAGGACATATTAAACAAACAAAAACAATGTGTGACAAAGAATCAAATGTCTTGTTATAGCTAGTGCACAGTGTGTGCAAATTTGTCTTTCATCTTTTACAGTTTCTCAATATAATTTTATTAATTAACAATTGATCTTTTGTTCCTCAGGACCTAGAGCAATTATCCTTCTCTTCATTTTGATGAAGATAATTTTGAATTAAATGGGGCAGGACTGTGTTAGCTATTATTCCTGTCAATGATTTAAGCATTTCTGGCATACAGGTAACTGAGCAGTACTTTGCTGGAATACCTTCTTTTTTCCATCTTTCATAATTAATACTGTTCTTCCTATTGATATCCAATCTTCTACAACAGTTCCTTTCAGTAAGATGTTGAACAGTTATGCTAGTCTTGGATAAAAATTGGTTAGATTTTTTTTAAAAAAAAAATATTTTTTGCCAGAGCTCAAGAACATCATCTCTTCCAAGGGCTGCCCACTCCTGGAGTTTCTGGGATTCCTCAGCAATATTTATTTTACATTGTAATTGCAATATCTTCCATCTTTCGTGATTTTAATTCTACTCCATAGTTTTAATTCAAGTTGCATTTTTGTTATGCATTTTTGGTTCATCCTACATCTCCCTACCAAATGTAACTGTAACACCTTTATTGGGGAAAGTGATGTTATTGTACTTTCTCCTAAAAGTGTTTTAGAAAACTGTTGTTGGTTATATAGAAATTGAGTCTTCTGTTTAAACTGAATTATACACGTAACACACCAAAATACTTTTTTCCTATTCCAGTTATATCTTATTTTAAGCATTTCAAATATTTCTGAAATTCTTTATATTTCAAACTGATCTTTTTCTTTTAGTTTTATTTCAAGCATTATTATTATTATTATTATTATTATTATTATTATTATTAAATTTTATGTAAATCCCACCTTCCCCACTCAAACTAGAACTGTATTAAAACAAATACAAAATAGCAGAAATTTAGAAAAGATTAACATTAAAATTTAGTTAAACTGTCAATTGAATTAAACTTAGTTATTGGATTTATATCCAGACTTTCTCATGATATTGGATTCAAGGCAATTGAACATTTACAATAAAAAGAACTGAAAACTTACAATTCAGTTAATAAAAAGGAATTTAAAATTATTTACTTGTGCATCCAAAAAGCTATCCTGAAGCTACATTCAATTGCCTATCTGAGAACCCTCTAAATCTAAAATAAAAACTCTTCCTCAAAGCTAGATAGTAGCAAAAGCCACTTAGAAGTCCAGAAAACCATCTGAGAAATCCAGAAAACTAACAGTGATATTCCTCTAGTCAAAATTTGCAGCAAAGATTATTCACAAAACCAACTAAAGCTGTCTCTTTCCTATGGCTAGCCCAGAAACCAGATTAATATGAATTTAGAGCATCTATTTCAGTC